GCCGCCGGCGACTCCGAGGCCATCCGAGGGCTCTAGATCTCAGAGCCCTAGCCCGAGCCCTAGCCCTAGAAATGCGGTGCCGTTGCCTTCGGAATCTTTTAGATCTTTGAGCTTTGGTTCTAGAGAGAAGACGATGTCGAATTTGAGCCCTAAGGATGGGGATTCTTTGCCGGTGAAATCTCAGACGGTGGCGCCACCGCCGCCGGTTCAAGTTCCTCCGCCGCAGTTTGAGAAGAAAGGAGGGAAGTGGTCTGGATCAGGATTTGGGTTCTTTTGGGAAGCTGTTGCTAAAATCCAAGATGGTAAATTTTTTATGCGTTTCTGCGTTGTCTGAGATTTCCAATTATGCGGAAAATTATATTTATTTTATTTAATTGTTTAGCAATCGTTATTCCCCCTCAGTTAGTATAAAAGTTGGATCTTTTTTATTTTTTAGGAATTAGAAAATTATAAGATATTTGTTTCTTCTGAAATAACAATTTGGGCTTCCCATGACCACCTATTATTTTTATGAAATTAAGAATTAGTAGTTATTATAGTTGTGGCTACTTATTTTTCTATGCTGTTATGTTATCTGTATACTATTATACTGAAGTAGCTGCAACCACTAGTGCCTGCAGCCTTAAGGAAGGAAAACCAAGTGAGTTATTTACTATCCACGCCTAATGCGTTATCTTCAGAACAATTATATATAGATATTTGGTTTCATTAATTTATTGATTTCTAATGAGAAAATTATCTTGATAGGTGTTCGTTTTGTATAGGTTGACGGATCATTGTATTAACAGATTATTGCAACAACACTGTAATACTGACTCCCATACATCACACGATTACAACTAGTTATTTTTGTCCTAGTTTGTTAGATATGTCAATGTCCCTAATTTTTAATTATTTTGGCTGCAAGATAATTTTGTAAATTGCTAACATCTTTGATTTAAGCTATTTGGCCACAATATGTGACGTTTGGCTGTTGTTTAATGTGTATTTGGTGTTTTGAGCAGCACATTCGAGCTTGGACCAGTACCTTGCAGATTGGCTAGGGTTAGATCAGTCGAGGTATCAGTGGGCGCTGAATGATTACTACGAGAACAGTGGAGCTGTAAGTGATATTTCTGCCTCAAGTTCATTTTCTTTGTAATTGTTTTTACCCTTTATGTCATTGGTTATTGTTGGTTTGTTAGCACATGATCTTTTTGTTTTGATATCATATCTCCAACTTTAATTGATATTACATCTGTTTGCCCCAAGCGCAATAATCTTGTAAAATGTGTTAGTTTTAAAGTAACTTTTTGGCACTTATATTTCTCGTATTTAACTGTCAAGTATCATAAGAAGCAAGAATCTAAAGCTTAATTTTCCAGTGATTATACCATGTGTATTAAATGGAGTTATAATAATGGAATGTTCAATTGTCTGACCGAGGTTGTATTATTCCAAATGCTTAGGAAGGAAATGCAAAATTGGAAGTGAGTGTATGTGTAATAAGATATAAATAGTCATGTGATTGAAGGTTTCCATATTTAATCTGATCTACCATCATAATTTTGTATTTGCTGGATACTTCGTTGCATCAGGTCCGTTTGGTTGAAGTCAAATCAATTGTTTAATCCGTTCTTTTAGTGTTTTATTTTATTTTTCCTCCCCCAGTTTGGTAGATGCCTTTTCTACTAGCGAGTTTCAACATCATAGCTTGTTTGTGTTCTAACCAAAGTATTAGTTTTATTGGGTTTTTTTTTGGGGTTGGGTGGGGTGTGGGGTGGTGATTTTTTAATATTTTTTGGGGTGGGGGTTGGTGGGTGGGGGTTGGTGAGGGTCTGAAATCACATTATAATATCTGAGGTACCCACTATATTTACCTACATGCCCTATCATGCAATCAATAATTGGAATACTGTTTTAAATCATGTCAATCTTCTACATCTGTGAATAATATTCCCTACAACTAAGTTATTAATACATTGCTTGTTGCTTAGAGAGAGATGCGATGCCGATGCCACTTCGCGCGAAAGATACAAATCATGTCAATCTTCTACATCTATGAATAATAATTCTCTACAACTAAGTTGTTGATACATTGATTGTTGCTTAAAGAGATATATGATGGAAACTGCACCTGAAATGTACAAAAAATCTATTTTCCTGGAAATTTGATGTCTTTAAAATTAAGTTCAATAATCTTTTCTCCTTAGGTTTCTTTATGTTCCAAGCTGCAATTTTCCTTCCAACAGACAAATACCTATGTAACCTCAATGTCCTAGAAAATGTAGCTTTTGAATTGACTGAATGTATAAATGTAGATTTTTGGGGTTTCTTTTTTTTGTTTTTTGGGCCGGCGGATGGGGGGTGTCGGGTTTGGTGGGGGTCTGAAATCACATGGTAAATGGCTTCTACTTATTATATCTGAAGTACCCACTATATTTACCTATATGCCCTATCATGTAATCAGTAATTAGAATACTGTTTAAAATTGTGTCAATCTTCTACATCTGTGAATAATAATTCCCTACAACTAAGTTGTTAATTCATTGCTTGTTGCTTAAAGAGATATGTGATGCCAACTTCGCATGAATGGTACAAATCATGTCAATCGTCTACATCTGTGAATAATAATTATCTACAACTAAGTTGTTAATATATCGCTTGTTGCCTAAAGAGATATGTGATGGCAACTTGGCCTGAAAGGTACAAAACAATCTTTTTTTTTCCTTGGAAATATGATGCCTTCAAAATTAAATTCAACAATCTTTCTCCTCATGTTTCTTTATGTTCTAAGCTGCAATTTCCCTTCCAACCGACAAATACCTATGTAACCTCTATGTCCTAGAAAATGTAGCTTTTGAATTGACCGAATGTGTACTCCTTGTTCTTCTTATATTGCACTGTATGTTACCATGTATATGGCAACAAATTTGAAGTTTACAGGTACTGATTATAGCAGGTTGGTTTAGTAATGGAGTTTGAGAGCCTTGTAAATCTTTTTATCTTTTCTATTATTCTTATTATCCACTGCATTAGGTTATTGCATGCATAAACTACGGAGCACACATAAGAATTAGGAATGTATATTAGTTGATATGTTCTCATAGGATTTACATGGGATTTTGGGAAATTTTCTGTGTATATGCTTGTTGTCTGTAATGTACGTGAAAGAGCACTCTCAAGGTATACCAATAGCGAGACATTATTTATTAAATCCTCTTTCTGTGCAAATGAAAAACCTGCATATGCCTGTTGGAAATTTCGGAGATGTTAAAGGTCAAATTGAAAAAGAAGCAAGTCATTGTTTATGTATGGATGTTCATGTATGAGCAAGCCTGGGGTGTAGACTTGAAATATGTTGACAAACCTTGTAGAGTTTATTATAGTGGTACTTATGAAGCAATTCTTTTGGGTGGGTTCGGCAACTTCACGTGCTAATCCGGTTAAGGCCTTAACCGGGTTAGAATTGAAACCAGATTGAGGCGGCCCAAAGGTAACCTAGATAAGGGCTTCTTTTTTAAACTAGAAAAAAATTAGCCAATCTTGTACAAGTGTTTGCCGACCACATTTTAATCCCTTATCCTAGTTAGTGCCTTTAACCAAGTTAGTGGTTGAGTTACTGAACAAGCCCTTAGTTTTTGTCTGTTTCATCCAAAAAACTCTTATTTTTCACTGACCCACATAATCACATGACATATTGCATGCATACGCATCACATGCACACACATAAAATAGGATGTATGAGTATCTCATTTTACTTGCCTCTTCCATTTGGTATTCAACGAGCATATATACAGTTAGATACACTAGAATAACTGGAGGCTAAGGCCCAGCTATCAGTTCTTTGCCATCTTAACTTTTTGCACGCGCTTACCATTCAACAAAAGTATAAAGAAGCTATACAATGAGTCATTTCAATTTTTGATGAGTTTTGAGTATTGAGCCAATGCTAGCGACACGCGTGCGTGAGCCCCCTGTGCGCCTGTGGTTAGACCCCCTCTTGAGTATTTAGCTGGTCTCCGCGAATAAAGGTGAAATTATCCTGGTACAAGAAAAGCTCTGTGGCAGTTCTATTCTATCCCATTGCCATGTTTTGGCACGAAGTAACAGCAGAAGTGCTCTGCTTCGTTATTGAATATAGCTTAAATGGTTCCTCATTTACGGCTTTTGAGTTTTTCTTTATTTATTTTTCATTTTGGCATACGAGCATAACATCCTTCTTAATGACTTTGCTCGAACAACTTGTTCCTTCCCCAATTAAACTGAGACTATTAGTATAAACAGTCCCACAATATATCTTGCATTTGTTTCTATTTCTGAACCTGCTGCTGTTTTGTTGCAGCTGAAGGACGTCAGTAAGCCCCAAGAACTTGTTAGCAAACAGCAAGCTGTGTAATCTGCTAGCGGGTGTGTACTCTAACCAAACTTCCAAAATAGTGGGATTTTTTTTTACTTTATATATTTATGTTAACCGAGTTTTTTCATTTCTCAATTCTGCAGAATTTTGTCAGTGTATATGTATGATATTTATTTTAATGTGGAGTCAAGGTCTTGATCTGGAACTTCTCCGGACTTGCAGCAGCATCAGATGTGCAGGCTATTGTAATGTATGAGAGCCAGAAGTGCTAGCTTTCAAAAAATATTACTAGCTTGAGAAATTATTGATGGGTCATAGTTTTATTTTGACCGAGGGTGGAATCCTCCTTTTCTTTATGGTTTGCTTAAGATATTTCAGTTTTCGCTCGGCTCGGTATCTGAGCTCTGTATGTCCATGCATCGATTTTATTGGATTATCCGTGTGATAAAATTTTAAGGTGTTAGTCACATAGAACTAAAACTAGAACAAAATTTTACGGTGTTAGTCAAGTAGAATTCTAACAAAACTATAATTGTGATAATGATACAAAATTATTCTATTTTTTTTTAATTTTTTTATACAAAAATGAGAGTTTAGTCTCTCAAATTATTTTAAGTTTTAGCTTGGAACTAGGTGGTAAAAAACTAGAACTCATATTTATTTTGTTATTTTTTATTTTTTTTAGCTTGGAACTAGGTGGTAAAAAACTAGAACTCATATTTATTTTGTTATTTTTTATTTTTTATATATATATATTTTCCTTTACTTCTTTTCTATTATTGTTATCTCCATCATTACATCATCATTATAATAATAATTATTAATATTTTATAGTCTAATCAAAAGTTATTTAATAGTAAAGAACATTCTTGTAAGTAATTATCAATCAATAATAGTAAGTTTAAAATACTTTAATAGTAAAGAACATTCTTGTAAGTAATTATCAATCAATAATAGTAAGTTTAAAATACATAAATAGTATTTATATCTTCAAAATACATAAATATATATTTCATGATTATAAAAAATTTATTCCACGTTATTTTATCAAAATATCCTACTTTATAAAATTATTCCTATTTATTTCACTAAAATATCCTATTAGCGAAAAATTATTTTACTTTAATAATTATCTCATTTTGTACGAAAACATCCCAATTGACTAACACCCCCTAATTAATTAGGTTATCTTTGGACCTTCCCTGCTTTGTTCAATTCAAACTCGTCGAATTCGCTGACCGAATCAGGGAGAAGTTGACAAACACGCCCTAATGGAGAGCATTAATGAAGATGTACGTTGTATGGCTCAAAGAAGTTCAGCAGTTTCTTAATAAATCCATCATTTTGGGATTTATTTTAAAAAATAAATGGGAAAACCCCAGTAAAAAAGTATCGGAGGTTGTCAATCTCTTGACCATACTAAAGAGCATTTGCTGGATTAAAAAACAAAGCAAAAAACTTATAATTTTGGCATACGTCGCATTTTAAGTGGATGATGATGATACTAATATTATTTTTATCCCCGAAACAAAACGCGAGCCCATGTGTAGGGGTGGAAATCTACCAAATTATCAATAAATAGTTCGTCATTTATTCATCAAGATATTTGGTCATATTCGATATGATGGTTCATTAAGTGGTAAATTAATATTTTTTAGTATCCGGTTTATAAACGTATAGAATTTAACTAAATGTATATCCGATTTTTTTGTTTATTAACTATTAGTTTATATTGTAAAATTTATTCTTATAAATTTGTTGATTTGCAAATATTATTCATTGCAAACTTGTTTCTACACAATCGAAGTCTGTATAAATAAATTAATAATCTAGGCCCTTATATAAATAGGTTAACAGACGTGGCCCACAAATAAATGTTAATAATCCAGGCCCATATATGTGTTCAATGAATACATACGCATACCTTTCGAGCATTGCCACGTTTACAGTCATTTAATTTTCTCATCTTCTATTGGATAGAATAGCTGTGTATGTACGCACCCGCGCATCCAAAATCATTAACTGAGATGGAGAGCTCACCCGTACGATCTACTCCACTTGGATGCCGCGCTTAAGGTTGAAAAATGACTCAGGGGATCCAGGGGATCCTGACTCCTGAGTGGGACATGTGAGGTATCGTCTTCTTGTTCCGTGATGTACTGTTCCGTCGATCCAAGGGAACAAAGCCTTTTGCTCGAATATTCGACGAATTTTACCGAATACCAATGCTTGCTAGCTAATCGAATACGAACTCAGATATGGTATTCGACCCGAGTTCGAATTCGAATAATGAAAACTGATCCGAAATAGCCCATGATGTTCGTTTAGATTCGACCCGTTCCCACCCTCGCCCACGTGTTCAAAGACAAAGTCAAAATCCCCACGCGCGTCTCACGTGACAGTTAACTCCTATAAATAAATCACATTAAAATTCTCCCCAGTTCGTACCAGAGCGAGTCAAACTCTACGAATCTCTGAGATCGCCCATTTTTTCTCTACATTTACTTTTCCCCACTCTCTCTCTCTCTCTCTCATGCGAACTAGGGTTTTGTTCCTTTGCTCGCCCTTGACCAGCAGAATCCTCTGATGCCGAATCGAATCGGAGGAAGGGACAAGGTTCGCTCCTGCCTCCTTTTGATTTCCTTTGGTTTCTAGGGTTTTTTTAAAAAAAAATTCCGTGATTTTAGGGCTCTTAGAGTTAGCGCTCAGTGATTTTTATCAACTGGACGAATTGTCATGGTTTTGATCAGGGGGACTGGCGTTGTTCTGTGCTTGGGATTCTAATTGCAGGCTTTATAGGTTCCATTTTAGGAAATCATGTAACTTGAGAATTGAGAGTCCTTAGATCTATGTAATGTTTGTGCTTTCAGATGAATTAAACTAATTAGAGGATTAAAATGGTAGTTCTATGGAATCACGCGATGCTATGCGATGGTCAATTGAAGTTTTGGTGTTTATAGCTCTAGAATACTGTCCGACGACTTCACCTTATCGAAGAGAAGGCCCAATCAATGATTCCACAAGCATGGAAAGCCAGATAGATTTTGTGTCGATAGCAAATTATGGTTTTCGATGCCAAGATACGCTAGAGTTGGCCTGTTTCCCTATTGTTGAGACTATCATAAGTGAGATCCCAGTTCGCTACACTTCAAGCCTAACTCTTTAGATCGCTCGACTCTTATGTAATTTGCATATGACTATGGAGCGACGCATTGTGTCCCCTCAAGTAGAATGATCAAGTTTTTTGACCTATTGTCGACCTGCTCAATCTTCCATAAGTTCTCATATCCCTAAGTAATCCAACTTGATAAAGATAAGGTTCTCATGCAAAATTGATGCTTATTTTGATAAGTAAGATCCATTTCTTCTTCTTATTTGTCTAGTTTGGAGTACGTGCAACTACTAAGGATCAAGCTCTCAAAATTTGTGGGCCTGTAAAGAGTCTAACGAAAAGTTTGGGTGATCGTTTTTCTGGTAAACATCAGTAAGGTGCAGTAAGCAAAATAGGCAAATGAAGCTCATTCTTACAATTGTTGGCCTTAAATTTAGGCCAGATTCTGGGTTTTCCACTGTGACTTGTAACAGAGCCTTCATAATGAATTAAAGTAGCTGTGTGAAATAGGCAGTTCTTAACTATTTTCACTTTTTTTGTTGTTCTTTCTTCGTAAGTTTGTTAGTCTTGTAGCTCTTTTTTTCCGTATATTCTAATCTGAATTACCTTCTATCATTTTCAATCCTTTGAATGTTCAGCACGCCTTAACTAACTCCTGTATCACATGTTATTGGTTCCATCCTAGCACAAGTTAAACTGAAAGGCTAAGTTGCATGGAAACGGGCACGGGTACTGGTACGGGTGTGGGTACGGGAAAGGGACACGACAAAACTGTGAAATGTAGGGTACGGGGACACGGCTACATATACATATTGAATTAATAATGTACATGAGATAATTTTTTCCTGCTTCATGTGTCATTAGAATTAAAATTCCGATTACATTTTTGAGTTTCTTTTATCATATTGATTATCGTGAATTGTAAATTACTCATTTTTTTACTAGACATCGTGAAATGTAGGGTACGGGGACACGGCTACATATACATATTGAATTAATAATGTACATGAGATAATTTTCCCCCGCTTCATGTGTCATTAGAATTAAAATTCTGATCACATTTTTGGGTATGGACTGAAACGAACCCGACCCATATCTCATTAGTTTCAAAAGACGGATGTTAAGTGTAAGCTCTACGTCCAGGAAGTCTTTGACAAGTGTTTTAAATTAGGGCTTTTTGTTTTTAGGTCCATTTGTTTATCTAGTTTTATCTTTAAACCCAAGTATTATAAGTTGTATATTTAAACCCAACTTTCTTTTTGTATTTATCTTTAAACCCAATTTCCTTATATAGTACGGGAAAGTGTCGGGTACGTGTCCGGTACGGGTACGGCTTCAATATAGAAGTACCCGGGTAACATAGCTGAAAGGAGATTCTGGGTGAAGTCAAGGGGCCTTTGCCCTTCAATTCTTAGAGACCTAGGAATCTTGAGTTCCTTTTCTGAAAAAAAATTTGTTTTGATCTGTATGTTTGTCTTATGTAGACCCTTGAGCTCTGTTTGGCAACTACAAGAGAAAACTAGTCTAAAGGTTAGAATTTGAACTAAAGAAAACTAGTTCAAATTTGACCCAATTATTGCCAAACCAAAACTAGCTTTTGGGCTTAAGATTGTATCCACTAAAACTAGTTTTGTGAAGTTGCCAAACACACCCTTGCATATTAATGCTGCAGTTTTTTTTAATAATTTTTTAAAAAACATTTAGCTTCCTCCTTCATATGGACTCTTATGGTAAATTAATATTAGGATCTTGCTTCTTGTGTTACTTTAGCTAAAGTTGGCAACTAATAAGGTTGTTTCCTTCAAGTTAACCAAGTTGCTGAGCAATAGAGAGCCCTGGTTTTATCTGGGATTCTGCGATTTAGCACCAGTTAGGAGAATTGGTATTGGCCAGCCATCTGTAGAAAACTGTAAATCTTTCCCTGGAGTCGTCTTAATTTCGTTTGCTTGGTATCTGCCCCATGTTGTTTAGATTCCTCTCAAGCGATTAAGGTCAGACCTACGATCAATTGGTAGTTGGCTAAGTGTACAGTCCGAAGGAGAGTCTACCTGCCTTTTAAGGCATTTTGGCAAAAGGAGAACGATGTATATTGTTTTATATGTATCCATTTAGCATCTTTTACGCATTTCTTATTCTTTACCCACTTTGTCGGACTTGACAGCTTGGTACATCTAAAACTGTTATCATAGTTCTTTGTCTTGTTAAACTTAAAGCAGGTGCTTCTCCTACTACCTAGGTAGAAAAACATCTGCCAAATTGTTGTTCAGCTAGAAAGAACGTTTGCCATGACGATAACCACCTTATCTAATGTGGCAATCTCTTCCATCCCTTCCTTGTTCAAGGAGGCCTTACAACTGAATACTAACTGGGATGACGTTACTTGCCCTATCTGCTTGGATTTCCCTCACAATGGTGTCCTACTTCAGTGCTCCTCTTATCACAAAGGTTGCCGCCCCTTTATGTGTGACACTGGTCACACCCACTCAAATTGTCTCAACCGATTCAAAAGTGCTTACAAAATGTCTACAGCTCCAAAGGATCCATCTCATTCAGATTGGTCTTTTGGTGAAGCCTTTGAAGTGATCCCTTCTAACTCTGATAACCACCCAACATGCCCACTGTGCAGAGGAGATGTAACTGGCTGGATAGTCATCATTGAGGCCAGATCATACTTGGACATGAAAAAACGGTGTTGTGAAGAGCAAGGCTGTTCATATATCGGAAACTTCAAGGAACTTAAAGAGCATGCTCAGTTAAAACATCCACATTCTCATCCATCAGAAATAGACCCAGCAAGAAAACTAGATTGGGAGAATTTCCAACAATCTTCAGAGATTGTTGATGTCTTGAGCACTATTCATGCAGAAGTGCCACATGGTGTGGTTTTGGGGGATTATGTCATTGAATATGGCAGTGAAGGGACTGGTGCTGATGAATATGAAGATTTTGCTCGGCGTCAAGGCAGGTGGTGGAACTCTTGTATCTTATATAAGGTTTTTGGTAGCTTAAGGGGCTCAAGAAACAGGCAAAGGTCAAGAGGTAGGAGCACAAGGAGAGGGCGCCATCAGTCGAGCTCTGGTGGTTCAAGCGTAGATGGTGATTCTCCAACATCTGTGGATATTTTGGAGTATAGATTTGATGAAACAGATGATGACTTTGCAGGCACCAGCGGTGACAGGGGTGGCAGTAGTGCTACGGCAAGGGGAACTGTTAGTCAACACAGGTTCGGTTATCTTTCTTTTATGTCTTTGTTATGCATTTATAGAGTTATGTCTGTTTATACCTGTGAACCATCCGACTCTTTTGTTCATCTCAATGGACCTTCATATATTTTCTTAGGCTGTGTTTGGATCCCATTAAAGTTGCTATATAATGTTTCATTAAAGGTTTTTAGCTTTAATCTTTAAAATTTTATGGTATTTCTAAAGTTTGCTGACAATGTGCAACACATGGGCTAAGCCAAAGAAATGTGATTATGTTGAGAATACTTGGCAAAAGCTCGGTAGGAATTATTAGTGGAGAAGGATCCATAAAAACTAATGGTGGAGGTGCAGTTCTTGTTGGCATGGATATCATGGTTTTCAAACTATTAAAGATACTTATAAGGAAATCCCCTCCAAGTTTGATCACTTATCAGGAAACTCAACGTTATTAACTTATCACATAACACCGTGATGTCAATTTTACCATTGAGCTTGAAACAACACATGCCCTCCTCTCGAACAACAAGATATTGTTTTGCGTACTAAACAAACCAAAATATGGCATGTAACTTGCACATGTGTTTTAAAAGAGAATTAACAACAAACTGGAGGGTAGGGGTTTTTAAAATAAAAAGGTAATGGTAAGGGTCTCCTAATAAGTGGCCAAAGTCAAGAGGGATTTTTACAATAAGTACCAAATTTAAAATTACAAGTATCTAGTCTATGATGGTAGTAGTCTTTAGAATTTCAAAACTATGTAATATTCCCAAATTTTGTAGTCAACTCGACTGGATCTTCTCTTAATTGTCTACATATGACTAGGGTTCTGTCTTGCATCACCTTTGTCTAAAAGGAGCTTTCGTTTCCTAACTTCGAGTTAGAATTTCTCCAAAAAATCAGCTTGCCGCTGGTTGTTTCATTTCTTTATTTAAAGTTGTAAAAAGAAGAGAAAGATAACGTTAAGGATGAAAACTAGGTTATGAATCTTATGATTATTATGTTATATTAAAAAAATGAGATTTTCTTTATACTTATATAATGACACTGACCTTTAGCACTTTCATCCTGCAGTTGGAGGCGGAGATCTCGCTTCTATGATACATGATCCCTGAGCATGGGCATCAAAGTGTTGTTACCGTCTTGTTGAGGTTTCCTCTTTTTGTAAAGATGGATTATTCCAAAGAGATTTCGTTTATGGCTGCCATAAACTTTTTGCATACACATTCTGTGCATATTGATATTTGCATTGCATTCAAAATATCGTCTGTCACCTTCTCTCCTGTAAAAAAAAGAAAAATATACATAGCTCTTCATGTTTCTTTCAGTTTGAACTGTTCAGGTTTGTACTTCCAAATTTGGAGGAAGCAGGAGCAGGTTGTTTTCGCTACGTATAAAACATCCTCCTCCTGATACCTCGGGACAAAAGTACTGATTGGAGAGGAAGATAAGGTTTGATGGTTATATTTCTGATCCTCTGATTTAATAGAGCCATTGTTTAACATCAATATAACAGGTCATTTCGAGCTCGCAAATTATCTAGGAATTTCCTTTGTATATATTAGTATTAGAAAAAGAATGATGTTAAAGAATGGAGGATTGAAGACGTCGGAGATTTGGGATAATAAAAGTGCATAGGCCATTGAATAAGCCTAATTAGATTACAATCTCCTAAGCAACTCACATACTTTGAGGGGAAAAAGTGTGAGCTCTATTGATTGAGTATAAAATTTGCAGATGATGGGCGCTACACTTTTATCTCCTGTAGTGTGGAAGCAATCTAAGGAGAATATTAACAGTTATCCTTACTCGTAAATTAAAGTGCTTTTTTTTTTACAGAGAGAGGGTTGGCAATCTCCATTGCCCTCTCCAGGATCTCTCTTTCGAACAAAGCCATCTACCCTTTATTAGCAAGAGAGAATACTTATTGATCTATGTCCTACCTTGAAGCAAAACATAAACCTCGTTAAATGCTTCCTTCAAAAACAGATCATGAAGTTCACTTGTCTGTTTCTCCCTCCTCTTTTGGGCAAAATGAGGAAAATTTTTATTTTTATTTTTATTTCTCATAGATTCTACTAAGGCATACCTGAAATCACAAAAAAAAAGAAACACTCTCTGGAAAGATACAGATATAAGGTGTTTACTGTCTCTACGTTACTTGGTGCCGTACATACACCTTGGCCTGATGAGGGTGTATCATATTTATCAAGATTCGACTTCATTTACATCCTTAATATTTCAATCATGACTCCTAAAACATTTTCCACAATTTACTACTTAACATCATTTCCTTGAAAACAATTTCAGACACCACTCCTCTGAACAACCTTTTCTTTTCCCTCCTTTTTTTTGTGTGTGCGTGCTTGCCTGCCTGCGTGCGTGCGAAGTGCGAAATGCTTGAGCATGAGATTTACTTACAGTAAAAGAAAATAACATTTATAGAGAGAGAAACATGGAGATGGACAGATGATAATAGACTAGAAATTTTGCTTGAAGCTTTCTGTTCTACTTCTAAAACATCAACTGATACCTGTCTCAGCCTTGCTCTGCGTTGAAAACACACTTGTTGGGTTCTCTCCAAGTGAGCCAGCAAGTTTCGATAACCATACTATGCCACATGTTCCTCATTTTAAAGAGGATTGCATTTAATCACTGAAAACTCCAGACATCAATCTATTGACACTGGCCATGATGTAAAATTGCGCTTCATTCTCAAGCGCGTGCAAACCGAGAGGGTGAAGCAGCATCCAAAAAATGTGTCTAGTCGTCTCCAACATTCGCACAAATGATGTTCGACGACACAGAATTGATAAGGAAAAGAAGCTAACTGCGAATCGGGTTCAAAAAGTAGTTCGCCGCTCCAAGAATACAAGAAAGTCCACCACCTTAGAAATACAGAAAGTATCCACCATTTGCACTTCATATTCTACAACAACATAATTCTGATTATGCTTCAAGAGAGTATCCACCCAGGCTTAGACATGGGTTGTAACATGAGCTGAACTTTTGGGCTTGCCCATGTTAGCTCCTGCCTCGTTCGATCCGATACCCCATTTCAAAACATTCTAAAGCATTTGACAGATAAAAGCTATACAAATGCAGCCACAGAACACAGAGGGAGGCAAACAATTCTGAATTCTATAAATGGAGATTCTTGTTATACAGAGATAAACATGTCTAACACCTCTGAGCTACTGTATAAATTAGCTTGATATCTCTGATTCATAAGTTAAAAATTCCAATGAAATATTCAATGCATACAAATGAATACCTCCTCAGTGCCAAAGTTTCACACAGAACCCTGTAGTCACTGGTGGCTGCCTTTTGCTATAAACTGCTTCTGAAAATGTGATGGTGGCGCACACAGAAAGGGGGGCTGGAGGCACTCAAAAGGCGGCGGCTCAGAGGGGACTCGCGGCGGCTTCGATTTGGGGCGAGGACGAACGGATCTCGCGGCGGCGACGAAATGGGCGAGGACGGGACCGATCTCGCTCAGAGCTGGTCAGAGGGGTCGCGGCGGGGATCTCCTCTCTCGCGGCGGCCACGAAATGGGCGAGGACGGGGGGGAGTCACCTGGCTTAGATATGCCATTATCGTGGGAGTTGGAGCCCGGATTAGGCTTGTCGGGTTCCAACCTTGAAGGAGTAACCGGTAGTGTGGCCTCGTTTATCTCATGGGTTACCGGGTTTGGATCCTCATCTAATCCCGAACCCGAATTTGTTGCTGTTTCTTCCTTCTCGATGTGTTCAGGAGTGTTGTTGGATTCGATTCTGATGAGGTTTGGGGGTAATGCAGGGGGTTCTGCATAGAGTAGAGGAAAGGTGAATGAGTAAGACAGGAATCATGCATATCATTTCATAAAGTCTTAACATTGGACCAATCTAAAACTGCACTAATAAACACGGGATCACTAGACTTGGAGACTTGCATGCTGATTAACATCCCTTTGGCTGTCATCGACCTGGGCCACTGAATGCTTTCTCACCAAAATCATGCAAACACAATAAATTGGTAGAAGTAAAAGATTATGTTAGCACGAAAACTTACTCTTGTGCTGTATACCACTTGAAAACATGGAATCTAGCAACTCTATCGCCTGAGCACAGAGCCTCTGGACTTCAGCACCAACAGAAAGTCTACTAACAATCCCACGAGCCATACTTGAGAAGTCGCTAAGAGGACCAGTTTCAGAATCCAGTTTCCTCATAGCTTTATCTACTATCTCATGCAACTTTTGGTACTTCTCAGTAGAGTAGAGAAATCTATGGCTTAAAGAGATCCGCTGGCATAATGTATCAACTCTCCTTGCATCTTTTGCATACATGAGTTGCTTCCTCCAGCACCTGCACAATGATTGCTTTAATAGAATCACAAAGGAATAGCCTTTTATTAACTATCTCTATGGCCCATCAATGCAAGTATGTACCTAACAATTGAATGGTAATTATTTGAAATATTTAAATTGATAAATAGCGGGCAACAATGAATGGCAAGTAAAATTGTGAATTAGCAGAGCATTTGAAATTGCTGAAGCTGCCTACAAAAGAAAAAGCATGTTAAACAAATGCTAAATTGCCACAAAAAAATCATATTAACTTGAAATCAAATTTCTCATGCGTGAGCCTACTTTATCCATATCTTGTATCCAAGTCCTTATGGTACTAACTCGAAATATAAATAATTGAAATTAATTTGCATAGTGGTAAATTGTTGATGATCTTCTATCTCAGTTGAAAATTTTCCTTGACTAGATGCTATAATCTTGTTTCTGATTAGAGCTTAATTAAGAAAAATCGTTTCTAAACACACTCTATGGTCTATATCTTTTTGTAGAATAAGCTCATCTGCGTCGTTATGGACATGGAATATTGATGTAATGCAACTAATACGACCAATCTAGCTGGGTTCAAAAAAGTTACATGTAGGGCTGGAAACGAACCAAATCAAATCAAATACCATGGTGTTCATATTTGTATTCATTTAGAATATTCGAATTTGGTTATTATTCTCTAAATTTCTTTAAATACCTTTCGGATATTCGCAAATATTTATCGAATATTATGGTATACTTCTTTGATTAATAGTTTATAGTTTATGAACAGTAAACTATGTAATTAAAAAGATACTTCTGTTTGGTTACATATTTGTTCTTAAAACTGGCATAGGGTTCTTTAAGTTTGTCAAAATTAGTATAGAACTTAAATTACAAAATGCAAATGGGTCAAAAACATAACACTATGCATGTTATAATACAAACTATAAGGGATGAAACTCTAAATTATTACTTGATATTCAAATGAATTGAATATACATTAGCTAAATTCTATTCATTTATGAGCTGAATAGTAAAAATTATTTTTTCCATTAAACGAACTGCAGAATTTAATATAAACAAATAGTTAGATGAATGATTGACGAACTATTTGTTAATTATTAGGTTCATTTCCACCCTAAGTTCCAGGCACACAAAAGAAGGAAATCAGAGCCAACCTATTGAATATGTGTTGTAGTGTATCAGCTAAGAACATACACTATATTTTTAAGCTACTAATTTGATAAGACATTAACTTTTTGTCTCAATAAGTGTAAGGTTCGATTTTATAAGCACAGAGGTTACAGAAATCTGCCAGGGCCTAACTTGCTGCGAAAGTTTCATGCATCAGGAAACAAATTCGTAAAGAATTTGACAGCAAAATCTGAAGACAGGAAAACATAAAACTAACACACTATTTGTTTTACAAATACAAAATAAAATTACTAATAACTTTTGGATTATGATGCCCTTGCTGATCATTTGAGTATACATCTAAGATGTCCATAAATATACATCTAAGATGAACAACAAATCTTTGCACACAATCTATATAGTCTATAAGTGAATACCAAAATGGTAATTATTTAATAGAAACATAAGAAATATGGAGAAAAGTTATATTCTCTTTTGTTTAGGTAAAAGTTATATTCTCTTTTGTTTAGGTCCTTTGTTGTCAAAAGTTAAGGGAAGCAAGGATAGAGAGGAAAGAATGAGTTAGTTCATATGTTTTAGGAAAGGAAATCTTTTTTCTTCTTCCAGTTGAGCTACAGGTGTTTCTAGGAAAGGAAATCACTAAACTATATATGCCATATACTTTTAGTGGCTGGATGGAGTAGGTAGTATCAAATCTTCATATATAAACAGTTATTGCCTAAATCGTATGCAGGATATATAAATAAATATAAAATGGAATTGTTGAAAATGTAACAAAATATTAAAAACATTAAAACTATGATGTGAACACTTTCAAGTGATTAGAACAATAACCATTACGGATATCTTTATGCAATAATTCATACGTATACGTATTTGTGCACATATATGTGCATATATTGTGTGTGCTGCATGCACATATATAGCTTTTTTATCTAAGATTTTAAGCGGTACAATGTGGACAATCAAAGTGTTTTTTTAACTAGGGTTTTAGCCCCTACTTTGCTTAGAGATTAATGCCACTATCTACAAAAAAATTGATATCCTACTCCTCAACTCTCACCTAATCTAGGAAAATTTTGGAATTCGACATATCAAACCTAGTTGCATGAGCTTAAATGACAGAACCGATGTTGTAGTACTTACTAAGAATTTCAAATCAACTGCACCAGACTGTCATCCTAAAATTTGGTCACCCTTTAGTTTGACCGGACAGAGTTTAGATTGTACTCCATAGTCAACCCTTCTTTTTCCAGAGAAGGAAATGAAAATGATAGTGAGACTCGTCTATAGACAATCAAAAAACATGTAACCGACAAATTATGACTTTTTGCGTTGTCCAATATACATCAAGGATCTTGCTAGCATGAGCCCTTTAAAACATACAGTTACCTGACTATGAACTAAATACACGAAAACTATATGTGATTTGGCATCAACTTGGTATGGTAAAAGAAACATGTTATAAACATCCCAATGTTGGCCTTCTACGTTCTCATGCATGTGATGAGCAGTCATTAAAGCATACTTCTATGACGAAACTAGTAAATTCCTTTGACTTTGTTTATAGTATGCCCATCAAAAACATCTGATACTAACATCCTAGTAAATAACAACGAGAGCAAATGATAATATATAATAAAGATCAGAATTGCCGATGAGAGTGCGGGCCACTTGGCGGTGGCTCTATTCATCATCGAGAGCAAATGATAATATATAATAAAGATCAGAATTGCCGATGAGAGTGCGGGCCACTTGGCGGTGGCCGGTGAGCACGCGGGCCACTTGACGTTGGCCGTTCCGGTGGTTCGTCGCCACGTCATCAACGGTTCGCAGATTCACTTCATGCGCTTGTCGATGTCAGATGATCCTCTTTGACTCGGATAATCCTCTTCGACTTGGATAATGACGTTCATCGTCTTCTCTTTGTCTCGAGCTATGTGCGGACACCTATAGACATTTTTATACACCTACAGAAACATGTTATAAACATCCCAATGTTGGCCTTCTACGTTCTCATGCATGTGATGAGCAGTCATTAAAGTTCAATGCATACAAATGAATACCTCCTCAGTGCCAAAGTTTCACACAGAACCCTGTAGTCACTGGTGGCTGCCTTTTGCTATAAACTGCTTCTGAAAATGTGTCTACTAATTGCCCTGCAAGACTCTCTGGATCCTCTATTAGAGTATCCAAATAAACGCTAATGATCTTTTTCTCTTGTGGGCTAGCTCTCAAACTGAACCAAGTAAGAAACTTCACCCTAAATATAGTCTCAATGTGCCCTTTGCACTCCAGCCATCGAACAACCTTAACACAATACTCATAATCTTCTTCCTTCAATGAAGAACCATCTTTGTCACCTGGCTTAGATATGCCATTATCGTGGGAGTTGGAGCCCGGATTAGGCTTGTCGGGTTCCAACCTTGAAGGAGTAACCGGTAGTGTGGCCTCGTTTATCTCATGGGTTACCGGGTTTGGATCCTCATCTAATCCCGAACCCGAATTTGTTGCTGTTTCTTCCTTCTCGATGTGTTCAGGAGTGTTGTTGGATTCGATTCTGATGAGGTTTGGGGGTAATGCAGGGGGTTCTGCATAGAGTAGAGGAAAGGTGAATGAGTAAGACAGGAATCATGCATATCATTTCATAAAGTCTTAACATTGGACCAATCTAAAACTGCACTAATAAACACGGGATCACTAGACTTGGAGACTTGCATGCTGATTAACATCCCTTTGGCTGTCATCGACCTGGGCCACTGAATGCTTTCTCACCAAAATCATGCAAACACAATAAATTGGTAGAAGTAAAAGATTATGTTAGCACGAAAACTTACTCTTGTGCTGTATACCACTTGAAAACATGGAATCTAGCAACTCTATCGCCTGAGCACAGAGCCTCTGGACTTCAGCACCAACAGAAAGTCTACTAACAATCCCACGAGCCATACTTGAGAAGTCGCTAAGAGGACCAGTTTCAGAATCCAGTTTCCTCATAGCTTTATCTACTATCTCATGCAACTTTTGGTACTTCTCAGTAGAGTAGAGAAATCTATGGCTTAAAGAGATCCGCTGGCATAATGTATCAACTCTCCTTGCATCTTTTGCATACATGAGTTGCTTCCTCCAGCACCTGCACAATGATTGCTTTAATAGAATCACAAAGGAATAGCCTTTTATTAACTATCTCTATGGCCCATCAATGCAAGTATGTACCTAACAATTGAATGGTAATTATTTGAAATATTTAAATTGATAAATAGCGGGCAACAATGAATGGCAAGTAAAATTGTGAATTAGCAGAGCATTTGAAATTGCTGAAGCTGCCTACAAAAGAAAAAGCATGTTAAACAAATGCTAAATTGCCACAAAAAAATCATATTAACTTGAAATCAAATTTCTCATGCGTGAGCCTACTTTATCCATATCTTGTATCCAAGTCCTTATGGTACTAACTCGAAATATAAATAATTGAAATTAATTTGCATAGTGGTAAATTGTTGATGATCTTCTATCTCAGTTGAAAATTTTCCTTGACTAGATGCTATAATCTTGTTTCTGATTAGAGCTTAATTAAGAAAAATCGTTTCTAAACACACTCTATGGTCTATATCTTTTTGTAGAATAAGCTCATCTGCGTCGTTATGGACATGGAATATTGATGTAATGCAACTAATACGACCAATCTAGCTGGGTTCAAAAAAGTTACATGTAGGGCTGGAAACGAACCAAATCAAATCAAATACCATGGTGTTCATATTTGTATTCATTTAGAATATTCGAATTTGGTTATTATTCTCTAAATTTCTTTAAATACCTTTCGGATATTCGCAAATATTTATCGAATATTATGGTATACTTCTTTGATTAATAGTTTATAGTTTATGAACAGTAAACTATGTAATTAAAAAGATACTTCTGTTTGGTTACATATTTGTTCTTAAAACTGGCATAGGGTTCTTTAAGTTTGTCAAAATTAGTATAGAACTTAAATTACAAAATGCAAATGGGTCAAAAACATAACACTATGCATGTTATAATACAAACTATAAGGGATGAAACTCTAAATTATTACTTGATATTCAAATGAATTGAATATACATTAGCTAAATTCTATTCATTTATGAGCTGAATAGTAAAAATTATTTTTTCCATTAAACGAACTGCAGAATTTAATATAAACAAATAGTTAGATGAATGATTGACGAACTATTTGTTAATTATTAGGTTCATTTCCACCCTAAGTTCCAGGCACACAAAAGAAGGAAATCAGAGCCAACCTATTGAATATGTGTTGTAGTGTATCAGCTAAGAACATACACTATATTTTTAAGCTACTAATTTGATAAGACATTAACTTTTTGTCTCAATAAGTGTAAGGTTCGATTTTATAAGCACAGAGGTTACAGAAATCTGCCAGGGCCTAACTTGCTGCGAAAGTTTCATGCATCAGGAAACAAATTCGTAAAGAATTTGACAGCAAAATCTGAAGACAGGAAAACATAAAACTAACACACTATTTGTTTTACAAATACAAAATAAAATTACTAATAACTTTTGGATTATGATGCCCTTGCTGATCATTTGAGTATACATCTAAGATGTCCATAAATATACATCTAAGATGAACAACAAATCTTTGCACACAATCTATATAGTCTATAAGTGAATACCAAAATGGTAATTATTTAATAGAAACATAAGAAATATGGAGAAAAGTTATATTCTCTTTTGTTTAGGTAAAAGTTATATTCTCTTTTGTTTAGGTCCTTTGTTGTCAAAAGTTAAGGGAAGCAAGGATAGAGAGGAAAGAATGAGTTAGTTCATATGTTTTAGGAAAGGAAATCTTTTTTCTTCTTCCAGTTGAGCTACAGGTGTTTCTAGGAAAGGAAATCACTAAACTATATATGCCATATACTTTTAGTGGCTGGATGGAGTAGGTAGTATCAAATCTTCATATATAAACAGTTATTGCCTAAATCGTATGCAGGATATATAAATAAATATAAAATGGAATTGTTGAAAATGTAACAAAATATTAAAAACATTAAAACTATGATGTGAACACTTTCAAGTGATTAGAACAATAACCATTACGGATATCTTTATGCAATAATTCATACGTATACGTATTTGTGCACATATATGTGCATATATTGTGTGTGCTGCATGCACATATATAGCTTTTTTATCTAAGATTTTAAGCGGTACAATGTGGACAATCAAAGTGTTTTTTTAACTAGGGTTTTAGCCCCTACTTTGCTTAGAGATTAATGCCACTATCTACAAAAAAATTGATATCCTACTCCTCAACTCTCACCTAATCTAGGAAAATTTTGGAATTCGACATATCAAACCTAGTTGCATGAGCTTAAATGACAGAACCGATGTTGTAGTACTTACTAAGAATTTCAAATCAACTGCACCAGACTGTCATCCTAAAATTTGGTCACCCTTTAGTTTGACCGGACAGAGTTTAGATTGTACTCCATAGTCAACCCTTCTTTTTCCAGAGAAGGAAATGAAAATGATAGTGAGACTCGTCTATAGACAATCAAAAAACATGTAACCGACAAATTATGACTTTTTGCGTTGTCCAATATACATCAAGGATCTTGCTAGCATGAGCCCTTTAAAACATACAGTTACCTGACTATGAACTAAATACACGAAAACTATATGTGATTTGGCATCAACTTGGTATGGTAAAAGAAACATGTTATAAACATCCCAATGTTGGCCTTCTACGTTCTCATGCATGTGATGAGCAGTCATTAAAAGAAACATGTTATAAACATCCCAATGTTGGCCTTCTACGTTCTCATGCATGTGATGAGCAGTCATTAAAGCATACTTCTATGACGAAACTAGTAAATTCCTTTGACTTTGTTTATAGTATGCCCATCAAAAACATCTGATACTAACATCCTAGTAAATAACAATTATATGAGGGGGGAAACCAAAAGATAAAAACCGCTTTTTTTGTTCATCATCGAGAGCAAATGATAACATATAATAAAGATCAGAATTGCCAGAGAATTGAAGGGAAACAACTCCCATGATATCAGCTATAGGGAGAGAATAGCTTTTGCTCGGACCTCAAGCTAGGTGGCAGATGACGTCTTCATGAATTTTAAAATATTATTCATGGGATCATCTGTTGACTCCTTTCTAGAGATTAGGCTATGTATGACAAGATGTTACGGTTTCTCCGAAAAATGTAAGAAAGAAAGAAAAAATGATAGCATCTTATATCTTATATACAAGATTAAAAACTAAGTCATAGGACACGTGATAAAGCAAACTAATGGGCAAAGGAACAAGTTACTTACGCAAGAAGATCATTCACTTTTTGACAATGAATGCAATAAAATCCTCCGTCAAGTCGTACACATTGTTTGCTCTTCATAATCCCACCTCTTTCATGATTCAGAACACACTCGACATGATACGATATGCCACAAGAATCACCTTTATATGGAAAATCCGAATTGCAAACCAACCAAAGGCTAGGGTCCTTATTCTCATCATACTTATAACAGATACCACACGTACAACGTTCGCAAAAGGCCCTTTCCATGCGTAATGTAGCTTTGCAAACTAAATTTTCACAGATTCGGATGGTTCTATGAGCTTCACCGCCATCATCTAAACTTGTCTCAATCAATAATCGAGATGGGTGATCGGTCTTTCTCTGTCTTTTGGAAGGGGTATGATTGTTGGATGAAGGCAGTTGTGGATTTCCTTCAATAACTGCAGTAAGCTTCCCAGATTTTTTATCAGATAAAACCTTAAAGAGATGTTCTATTAACTTTTGCTTTGCTACCCCAGAGTACTTCCTCTCCTTTCCCATCTCTGCACAAAGGATCTCTATAAGGTCTCGGCGACTCCATGTCAGTAGCTTTTCCGGAGCTTTTTCGGGCCATTTAGACAATTTGTGAACAAGTTCCCTTTTCTCGTTGATGGTCAAGTCACAGCATTTAGATGGGTCATTAACAAATCCTACAGCAAGACAAACATGTCAAACTTGAGGAGGAAAAGTTTAAAAATATATAGTTAAAGAGCAAAATGCCAAATATAAGGCATCTCACTGCAGAACGGAAAAAGTATTTTGAGGTAAAATGTTAAACAATTCCAGAATCTAGCTTTAGTTATATGGGAACAAATATGATTCTTGAAATAAATCACATGATGAAATATACTCTTCTGAGATACTTGCTTTCGGCATTGTTATATGCATCTCAAAGAAAATTAGAACATATTAACTACTAAACAATAGTGATGCGCCTTTATAAGGGACCCACTAGGCATAAAAAGAAATAAAATTAACACGCTGAAGATATTCTGCCATCACGAAAGCAACCCAAGCACTACACGCTAATTACAACACGGTGAAAGAATCCATATGAACAGTTAAAAGCACATTTCACTTTAAAGTAACAATAATAAATAATAAATAGACAGACTTTCCTGACATTTACGCAATGATGAAACCCAAAGAAAGCATTAACCTTCCACCTAAAGTGTTGACTTCCCTATAAACCAAAGTTGCATCAATTTCTTTATAATTTCTTAGACCACATAACTAAAGTAGAGCTAAAAATGCTTGTGCCCCTAACCTAACGGCACAAAGCTTTGGCTAGAACTGAGAGTTATAATTTTATATTCTAGCACGTAAAATTAGAGCATCTTTTTTTTTCTCCTTTTATTTTATTAATACGCTTCGTTAAATGTTAAATGTGTGAGCCGTGTGATTTGAATTATAATTTTATATTCTAACATGCAGACTGAGAGCATCTTTTTTTTTCTCTTTTTACTTTATTAATGCGCTTCGTTAAATGTGTGACCCGTGTGATTTGGACAATAGTTGCTTAGTACCATACTAAAAGCTCTCTTCCACGGCACCAAAACTCCGAAACTGTGTGGGAGTGTTGTGTGTTATAATTTGATATTACAGAGGAAATGTATGAAAAGTAGGGAGTGGATAGGGCATAATAGTAAAAACTAAGGAGGGGAACCCCCAAATTATACCCAATTGAACAAGCAACAAATACCCATCAAGAAGAAACCACATGAACCCGTTAAAAATCAAAAATTTAACGAGCCCAGGTCGATTCCTACCCCTAAATTCAATCCAATCAAGCAGATCGAGAACAAGGAGAGGCTCTTACCGGAGTAAGGAGGATCCATGAGGGAGATCTGGGCACCGACGCGGTCACATTACCGCCTCTTCAGCTGCCCTGCAAGAAGAAACGCACATGAGAGAGAGAGAGAGAGAGAGAGGAGAGAGAACCCCACCATTATATATTTAGTTCTAAACTTTTTTAATTATATTGTAATTAATTATTAGTCGCATAAATAAAGATAGAGAAGAGAGAGAGAGAGAGAGAGAGAGGAATCCTAGAGACGACCTCGACTTTTTGGCTTTTCCTTTCATGAGGGTCCCCCCCTAATTGAGAGAAGAAAGAGAGGTTAATATGGTAAATAGAGCCTTGCAACTTGCGGAGGTTTCACAACGTTAATTAATAGATAGATAAAGGGCTTTTTTTTAAGATATTAGTCCCTTAAATCATCATTATTTTGGTGCTAGTCCCCCCACATATTTATATTTTGATGATAGCCCCTTAAATTTGCATTACTATGTTGATGTTAGTCATTTTGATTAATTAGGGTTATAGTCACCGGGAAAATATTTTGTTATTTTTTTCTTTAATTGACAGCCATGCCCTCGGTCCTAATACTCAAGCGCACAAGTCCGAACATGTTCCACCTCTCTTCTTCTCTAAGGGGGGGTTAGTCATCTAGAACTTAAAACTGGAACTGGGATAATTTGTGGGATAAATTTTTAAGGTGTTAGTCACATAGAACTAGGAAATGTGATATTTTTTTATAGTGTTAGTCAAGTAGAACTTTTGTAGAACTAGAACTGTATTATTTTTTTGGTGCGTTAGTCAAGTAGAATTCTACTAGAATTAGAATTGGGATAATTGGTCATAATTATCCCACAAATTATACTACCTATATATATAACCATAAGTTCTCCTCTCTCAAATTATCCCACATATTGGAAAGAATACAATTGGGAAAAAAAAGTGAAACGCCGCCTCCCTCCCTCTTGGTTAGTTTCTCCGCCTAGAAAATTTCTCTGCCATGAAGTCAATCATCCGATCATTTTTCTGTCTTTACTTTATTTTTTTGATGATTAGATCTTCAAGATGTATTACTTTATTGATAGCTTTTTGACGTTAAATTACTTTATTATTATTTGTTTGATCTAAGTTTTCTCTCCACAACAGTGGTTTAGGTTAAGAATATAGTGTTGGTGGGTTAGTGCTAAAGATATGCGGGCTATTTATGTTTTTTTTATAAGTTAGAAAGCAACTTTGCGATCATATTGATCATTAGATGTTGAATGGTTAATGGTGATATCTATTATTATTAAATCGGCTCAGTAAATTGATTGGGATATTTATAGTTCATCTGTCGATCATCTGTTTAGCGGCCATGGATGATTCCTATGTACATTTCATTTATTTGCTGATTTGGTTTCAGCGTTCATGATGAGATTGGTCCAAAGGGTTAATGGCTGAAAAATGCTTATTTTTCTTTCTTTATGATGTTATGAGATTTGAACTTCGACATTTATAATCCTCCACTAGAAGCTCCATGAAATGTTGTTGATGTAGACGATGACTCTGATAAAGAAGATGAGTTACAGACTCAACTAACAGTTGTAGGAGTTTGGAGAAATTCTATGGCAGATGTCATGTGGGATGATAGAAGCCATGTGAGATGATGGAAGTCGAATCACTCTAGGGATTTAGATTTTTATTTATTTGTAAATTATTTTATTATTTAAGATGAATAGTGATGCTTTATTGCATTATATTTTATATTTATTTGTAAATTATTTTATTATTTAAGATGAATAGTGATGCTTTATTGCATTATATTTTATAGTTATCACTAGAATTTGCTTATCAATATTATATTATTTTTAATATACAATTATTAACAATAGTAATTTATACCCACCATTACCCCCACCAAATTATCCTACCAAATTATGCAACTTTATAATATTATCCATCATTATCCCACCAAATTATCCTACCAAATTATCCCACTTTAAAAATTACCCATCATTGTTCTACTAAATTATCCCAGTGTTAAAAAATTATCCCACTTTACCAATTATCCCAGTTCTACTTAAAAAGTTCTAGGTGACTAACCCCCCCTAACGGTCTACGGGTAGTAAGGGGTATTTTGGTAAACAGAATGGGTATTTTGGTAATTAACCATCCGTGGTTAGTCTAAACCTAACAACGATCGATAATTTTGCACGGCAAAACTCACACGGGACCAATGTAAGCATGTGGATACAATTTGGGGGACGGGTATCAATCAAAATATAAATATTTGAAAGGCTAGTATCTAAAAAACCCTAGATAAAACAAGAGGCAACCTATCAGAGTCAAGTCAGAGAGAGAGAAAAGGAGAAGGTCGACGTGTGGTAGCAAGTAGTAGTGCGGCAATGTTTGGTAGATGCAGAACTTTTTTTCCCCTTTAAGGTGCTGTGGCAGGTCCAACGGCCTCAACGACGAAATCACCCCCAGTGGTGGCAACTGGTAAAAGCATAACCCTAGTCATATCATAATATGGATGGGGAAAAGCTGCTCACATAAGTACAAGCATAATATTTTAAGTCATATAGCAGTAAGGGGTAGGAACATAGCTTGGAAATTAAAATCCCCAGCGTACTGTCTACAACATTTAGGATAGGATGTGTTTGTCAAATCTTTAAAACTAAACCAGAATCGAAGCTCGCTTGTTTTTAGATACTTTTTTTTTATTCGGCAAAAGACGGTGCCCAGCTAGCCTAGTTTTTATAAGTCAAAAATGCCCACTAAACTGTTTTTAGTTTGGACCACACTTCTCGTGGTCCAAACTAAAACCGGTTTAAGGAGCTCTTTTTAGCCTAGGTAAACTTGGACATCATTGACCCAAGTTTTTGCCAAATAAAAAAGCATCTAAAACTGGGTTAGGTTCAGTCCTAGCCTGGTTTTAACATATTGCCAAATAGGCCCTTAGCATTGGAGATTTAATTGTCCTTTGTGTAGCTTAGATCACATTGTACTAAATGATTTTTTTTTCTTTTGTTGTTGTTGGCTGAAAGTAATTGAAGAAAAATGAGATTAAGTATCCAATAGTCTTTGTTCATTACATTTATTTATGAAGATGGACATCCTTTTGATGTATAATCAATATAATTGACAAAACCCATTTTATATTTTCTCCACAAGGAATGTGTACGGAACAAACAAACTATCCATGTTCACTGAACTTAGAGAGTAGATATTCCTGCGTAAAACAAGAGTTCTGATAATAAGAGTATTAATGGATTGCTTATTTTGGACAGTCAGATTTAAAGGTTAGAGAAATAATTTTCTCTTAGCATTAGTAGATACTTAGAGTTGAATGCTTTAGAAGTCTTAAAGTATCTACCATCACACTGAAACTCTATAATTATGGCGGAGGTTATAATTTGTACTCTATTTAACCCCGCACGCAAAATTGAGGGTCTCCTCATGAGTCGAAATCTAGACTCACGGTGATCAATATCTTTTTTTAACACGCTTTAAAAATTCACGGTTAACAATGTTAACGTATATTTGGGATTGCCCATTGATTTCCCATTGATTATGCAATATATTTGGGACTGCCCATTGATTCCCCATTGATTGTGCAATATATTTGGGATTGCCCATTGATTTCCCATTGATTTTCTTCCTTTTTATTTCTTTCCTTTATAGCTGGTTGATGTATGTATATATAGACATGTAATCTCATTGTAATATAACAAGAAAGGGAAGATATTTTCAATATATCTAACATGGTATCAGAGCTCTGCTCTTAAATCAGATCACCAACCTCTATCTTCTCTCTCTCCTCTCGTGCCCTCTTCGCGTCGCCGGCGAACCGCCGCCCGACCGCCGAGACCTCCGTTCGACCACCACCGAGCTCGAACCCGATCCCGCCTCTGCCTCCTCCGACGGGCCACGCTTCCAGCAGCCCCTGCGCCGACCAGATCCGCCGCCAAGAACCGAGCTTCCTCCTCCAGACAGGGCTTCGCCGCTCAACCGGTCGCCAGCGAACTTTTCCGTCCAGATCCGCGCCTTCCGTCGCCTCCTCCGGTCAGATCCTCGCTTCCCGTCGCCCAGAACCGATCAGATCTGCTCTCCTTCTCAACTGTCATACATAAAAGTGTGACTTTTGTGGGTTTTAGTTCTCTTATGTTTGGTTCTTCTTTGGGGTTTGTTGATATGGAGAAATCTGAAATCTTTCGTCCTATTACTGTTATTTTGGATGGCTCTAATTATACTCTATGGTCTCAACGAATGAAAAGCTTCTTAATTGGACGCAAGCTTTGGCGTATTATTACTGGCGATGTTGTTGAACCAGTCCGAGATGCTGATGAAAACAATACCAAGTATGCAGAACGTCTTGAAGATTGGGATAGCAAAAATCATCAGATAATTACCTGGTTATGTAACACCTCTATTTCAGCCATTCATATCCAGTTTGCTGATTTTGATACTGCAAAAGAAATTTGGGATTTCTTGTCCAATCGGTACAAAACTACAGGTCTTGCACACTATTATCAACTGCTCACAACTCTTGCCAGTCTTAAACAAGACTCCGGACAATCTGTTAATGACTTCCTTGCTGTCATTCAGCCTATATGGAATCAATTAGCACAAGCTAATATCAGTGATGATCATCTTCGCCTTATTCAGGTTCTCATGGCTCTACGTCCTGAATATGAATCTGTTCGTGCTGCTCTGTTGCATCGTGATCCTTTACCCTCTTTGGATGCTGCTGTTAAAGAAATCTTATTTGAGGAAACACGTCTTGGTTTGATCAAATCTCCCTCACCGGAAGTTGCTCTTGCTATCACTCGGCCACGCTCTACATCTGGCTCATCCTTGTGCAAGAATTGTAGAAATACAGGACATACATTTGCAAATTGCCCTACTATTGAGTGCAGATACTGTCACAAACATGGTCATATTTTGGAAAATTGTCCAACCCGTCCACCTCGTCCTCAAGGCACTTCAACAAAATCTAAGTTTTTCTCTAAGGCTAGTTCTTCTGCTGCTGCTGTTACTGCTCCTTCTGATGAGTCCCCTTCCTCTGTTCTTACTGTTAGCGATCTCGAAGCTCTTCTCAAACAGGTGATATCCTCCAATCCTTCATCTTCCACTGCATTAGCTGTCACTGCAGGTGATTCTTGGTTTCTTGACTCTGCTTGTTGCAATCATATGACTTCTCAAATGTCTCTCTTATCTAATAAAACTTCTAGCAAATTTCTGCCACCCATTCAAACTGCTGATGGTAATT